TCATGGTGTGAAAAAGTATGTACAAAGTGTGTGCTAAGACTTGTGAGTGTAAGTGATATGTTCAAGACTCGTATCATGACCATGTGACTAGACATGTGATTAAACTCGAACAAAGACTAAGTTAAGACCTCATGTATATACACTAAACTGGACAGGTAGTAGTATTTCAGTCATAACTTTTGATACGTGACTCCTATTGGGATGAAACCTACGCCAAAAAAAATATAAAACTCTGGGATACATATCCATAGGTGGCACGACACGTAACTCTTTCTAGAACTCCGGCTATGACCAAAACAAGTTGACGCTTGTGTAGGATACGGGAATAAAAAATCCATGTTGACTCAAAATAAATAAAAAAAAAAAAAAAAAGAACTATAACTCGACTTAATAAAAAAGAAGAAGGTTAAATAAGAGAAACAATCCCTTGGTAGTATGTTTAGACATATTTACATGAAACAAGTCAACACAAAGGGTTAGTTTATCACAAGTAAGCTATGCACAAGTAAGAGATGCACAAGTAGTCAAGTAGTCACAACATGATGTAATGAGTTTGCAACCTAACCATGGCTCTAGTTCTTTAAAGTTCAAGGATTTTGGTAGTCAAAGAGGGTCCATGGTTATGAGTCCGAATGCATCGTGCGAAAGTCTTACCTTTGGAAGGGTTGGCGCGTATGGATGGGACCCCGCAAATTAGACTAGCTTCCATGGTTTGGTGAATTAACAAACTCGGATGTACCTGCCATTGCACGGAGCGTTCGATTGGGTAGATGTAGCGTGAATTCCCAAGGGCTAAAGCCATATGTAGAACTTATATATGTTTCAGAAAAGAAGGAAAAACTGAATCAGGAAGTAGAATCGGCGAAACAATACTAGATCAATATAAACAAGAAGGTAGATTTCTGGCTCGATGTTGGAAGAACTCGGCGCGAGAAAACAGGGTCCATCGCGCAGCGATAACCCCATCGCGTCGCGATGGAGCCATCACATGGCGATGGACACTGTCGTCTCGCAATAATTCCTGCACTTCGCGACAGCTTTCTGTGTTCTCATAATTTTCCGATTTTTCATAGTATTATTTCGATTCTAGTTGTGAAATATATTTCCCAATTTTCCTACATGTAAAATACCTATGTTTTTTTCGCATTACGGATGGTCTTTCCAATGCGGACCTTTTTATGCTTATGCCACAATATTAATCAAAATTACGCACATGAATATTTAGAACGTTTCAAGTCTCATCCACTCATTCTAAATCAATTGCCAAAATAAATTTTAGGAACTAAAATAGAAATCCTCCCCAGCGGAGTCGCCAAAAACTGTAGGGAATATTTCAAACATCAACTTTAACCCCACTGTGATCATGCATATAAGCATTATGGCATCCAAAGGGAAAGAATCTAGAGCAAAAGAGTCGCCAACAAGTTTTAGGAACTTGTAAACCGTCCACGGGTATGAAGGTCACACCCCATTCACGATCACAGAGATCGCTAACTCCATAGTGGTCCTGAACCATGACTGGATATTTGGGGATGATGTTACGAATCTAACCTATAAAAGATTGAACCCGCCCTAAATAGGCCTCTACTTTATTCTTATAATATTCATGTGTGCTTTCCGATCAACATACAATCAATAAATTAATCCTAAGCATATTTAATCTATATTGGTTGATTATTATAATGCACAAATAAATCTATTATTGGCGATCACTTGAATTAAAATCATATTAGCCTAAATCAAATTATTAAGTATCTTATTAAGCGTGATTTCAAGTACAAATTTCTTTAAACATGCAGAAAGGCGTGATCAAGCAATATCAGTAAAATATGAATAATCAAGCAACATATAAGAGGAAGAAGACATACTAACAAATTATATAAATTATTTGTAAATTAACAAATTGCGTAAAACTGTATATATTTTGACACAACAATCATCATCATAATAAAATCCTCAAAGAATAATATTAGCAAGATCCTAGGCAAGATACTAACAAGATTAATAACAAACCCTAGCATGTCACTAAATAAAGATCAAAGCTTTAGCCTAGCTTGATACTAAAACATGAAGACATCCTAATATGATACTAGGAATTAATAAAATAATCTAAGCATGATTTCTATAAGAAATATAGCAATTAAATTACTCTCTTTGAAGCCTCATACCTCTTTCTATTAAAAGAATACACACATTAGTAAACTTCAATAAAATATTAAATCAATATAATAATTTAAAGAATAATTAAAATATGGATTTGGGACCAAACCCTCAGAACTATCAATTTATTCATCGAGGTCTAAGGCAACTTCTAGCTTAGCTAGGTGTATTAGAGTCTTGCAAAGGACGTATGGTGTGTGTTTTATGTATTTAGGCTAGGCTTAGAAAATCAAGAGAGAGAGAGAAAGAATAAGCTATAGATTAGAGAGAGAAGAGATGATTATTGTTGGTGAATGAAAACGGAGAAAATTGTCCAGTATTTATAGAGAGAAAACGACTGAAAAGATCAGAAAATATTCTGAATTCGAATCAGAATAAAACTCCTTTCATCGCGTGGCGATTGCGGCGCGATACAAAATAGTTTTTTTGCGGTTTTTATTTTTATCATATCGTTTGATCCAGAAATCGAAATAAGATAAATAATATGTTTTTGGAAAGCTCCTTTTGTATACTTTCCAAACCATTTAGAATCAGATTAATAAATTTTGTAGAATAAAATATATGACCGAAATAGTGGAAGGGTGTCAGTTTTAGATAGAGTTTGGTATTTCATTCATATATTTTTCGTTATAGCTCGGAATTAGTATTATAATATATCATTGGAAATATAATTTCAAGGGCTATCCAACCATTTAATATTTGGATAAAAAAAAATATGAGGCACAAGAATCATATCTGAATGTTTTTCAATTCGAGCGGGACTAGGATTTTCAAAAAAGAGGAGTTTTATTCAATTTCAAAGTCTTGATCTTTATCTTTCGAAAAGGATAGATTAGAACCTTCTAGAGAATTCTAGAAGCTCCTAACGAATCCTAATTGAATTAGGAGTGGGATTAAGGTTAATGGACCCTCCACATAATCATTAGGTCGTAGGTAAAGTGGACCTAGGTCCGGTTTGGGCTTATTTTAGTATTTTGACCATAACTTCCTCGTTATAACTCGGATTTTGGCTTATAATATATCGTTGGAAAGCCTTTTTCAAGCCTATCCAAATACTTAATTATTGGACCCAGATTATGGACCAAAATAAATTGGTTTGGATGTTTTTATAAATTGGACACGAAATGAATTATTTTGTTTTAAAACATTTAAAGAAAGGTTAGAAAAGCGGAAATTTACGAGGCTCTTCAAAACTTCACCTAAATCGATAATCAAAGACGTGAAAGGTACTCATCATAGGGTTTGATTTTTGGGGAGACACAATCAGGTGTCTACACTTGGTCTGAGAAGTTTAACTTTCAGGCTGAAGTGATGAGAACTGTACCCCTTTGGTTTAAGTTTCCTAACCTGCCTCTTAATTGTTGGGGGGTAGAGACTTTGAGTAGGCTTGGGAGTGTGATTGGAGTACCTATTTGTGCGGTTGAGTGTACATCTAGGCAGATGAGGGTCTCATTTACTAGACTCTTAGTTGAAATTGATGTTACTAAACCTCTACCTAAGAGTATTTAGGTGGAGAGTCCAGAGGGTGAATTGCTTGAGCAGAGAGTTATATTTGAATGGTCATCCCCCATACTGCAAGAATTGTAACAAGGTGGGTCATGATTGTGGTATTCCAGTTAAACCTCGAGCTCAAAACCAGTAAAAATAACCTGCATCTAAAGAGCAACCAAAAGTTTGGGTTCCTAAAGCTCAAACTGCTCTTGCAACTTCTGTTGAGTCTGCTCCTATTGTTGATTGTGTTGAGAATGTCACTGTCCATGGTAATAATGTAATTACTCCTGCTCCAACTGTTCAACATCTTAATTCTGACAAAGATTGGAGGATTGTAGGCAGGAAACATCGAAGTTTAAATTCCTCTCATGCTATTCCAGGTGTATCTAGTTATAACCCTTACTTAGCTTTGATTGATGATGCTAATAAGGAAGGAAATGAGTTTAATAGCTTAATTCCTATCGGGGGTGATGGTAATCTCGCTTCAGGGTCATGATAATCCTCATATGGAATACAAGAGGTCTTAATGACCTCAATAAAGTGGATGATGTTAAACAGCTACTTTCTAAGCAAGGTGGAGATGTGATTAGTTTACTAGAAACTAAAATAAAGGCAAAAAATCAGTTGGCTGTCCAGAAGAAGATTGGTATGGGTGGTCTTGGATCACCAATTATTCCTGCTCTCAAAAAGGGAGAATTTGGGTAGGATGCAAGGATGATAGGCTCAATCTTGAAGTCCTTTTAACTCATGAGCCGTCTGTTCATTGCATGATATGTTCTAAGGATCTTCGATGTAAAATTCTTTGTACCTTTTTCTATGGACTGCATTCTATACATGATAGAAAGGATCTTTGGACAGGTATAAAAAATTTAACTATTCTTGACCTTCCTTGGTTGTGTGCTGGGGACTTTAATTCAGTCCTACATGATGGTGACAGAATTCATGGTAATATTGTGACTGATTATGAAATAAGAGACTTTAAGCAATTCATTGATGATATGGAGTTGTTTGAGATCAAGAGCAAGGGTTTCTTTCATTCTTGGTCGAATAAAGCTCAGTCAGGTCCTAAAACTTGTACTAGGATTGACAGAGGTTTGGTTAATCAGAGTTGGATGGATCAATATGCTCATGTGGAGGCCATTTATCTCTCTCCTTATCTTTATGATCATAGACCTATCCTTTTTGAAATCTTTGTCTCTCAGCTAAGGAAAGGAAGACCTTTCATATTCCTTAATTGTATAGCTTCTCATGGAAACTTTGAATATGTTGTTAAGGAGTCTTGAAGTGTTACTGTAACTGGAAATGCCATGGTTAAGGTGTAGAATAAGCATAATCTTGTTAAAGCTAAAATGAAGGATCTTAACACCAAGCACTTTAGTAACATTGATGATAGAATTGATAGTGCTCAGAAGGCATTGGAGGAGGTGCAGGGCAAGCTTACTGACAATCATGATTCTGAGTTGATTAATGTTAAAGATGAATGTATTAAGCAAGTCAAATACTGGAGGATATTCAGGAGAGCATTTACAGACAAAAGTCAAGAGTTGATTGGGTGAAATTAGGTGATAATAATAACCACTATTTCTTTTTTGTCATGAAGCATAGGTAGAGTAGAAATAGGATTGATTCTATTTTCAATTCTGCTAACACCATCTTGAAGAAACATAATGAGGTGGAGTAGGAAATTGTGGGGTTCTACAAAAAGTTTATGGGTTCTACCTCTGATTCTCTCCCTGCAATTGATTTGGTTACTCTGAGAAAAGGGAAGCAACTGTCACCTTCTGCTCAATAGTTGCTTATTTTTCCTATTACTACAGCTAAGATTGATGAGGCCCTTAAAGGAATTGATACCACCAAAGCTCCATGAATTTATGGTTTTAATTTCTTCTTTTTTCAGAAAATCTGGCATATTCTGAAAATTGATATCTATGTTGCTGTTTTAGAAATTTTCAATACTGGGGTAATGTAAAAACAATGGAATTGTACAACTATTACTCTTGTTCCTAAGGTGCAAAATCCCTCTTATGAGAAGGAGTATAGACCTATTTTCTGTTGTATTGTTCTCTACAAAATCATCCTTAAGATTTTGACTGTTAGGCTTGCTAGGGTAATAGGAGAGGTGGTTGATGATGCATGCTCAAGATGGTTTCATACTTGGGAAGCACATTTGTGACAACATCTTTCTTGCAACTGAGCTTATAGAGGGCTATGCTCATAAGTTCATCACCCCCAAGATGCATGATCAAGGTAGATCTTAAGAAAGCCTATGACTCCATTGAATGGAGCTTCTTAGGTAGTGTTATGGCTGAGTTGGGGTTCCCTGGTTCTTTTATTTCTAAGGTTTTAAGCTGTATCACTATAATTTCTTTCTCTTTGCTTATAAATGGTATCCCTTCTCTTCCTTTTGTTGCTGGAAAAGGGCTCAGACAAGGTGATCCCATGTCTCTTTTTCTCTTTGCTATTGGTATGGAATACTTGTCAAGATGTATGCATGAGCTTGACTCTATTCCTGATTTTAATTTTCACCCTAGGTGCGAAAAACTGCATGTCAGTCACCTCATGTTTGCATATGATCTATTAATGTTTGCCAGAGCTGATGAATGCTCTATCAAGTTGCTTCTTCAGGCCTCTTATCTTTCTGCAAATTTAGAGAAAAGTGAAGCTTATTTTGGGGGGGAGGGGTTTCTAATCAAGAACAGGTTGCTCTCATTCAAATTCTAGGCATGGCTCCTGTAATTATCCCTTTCAGGTATCTTGGGGTTCCCTTTTCCTAAAAAAAGCTCACTATCAGTCAATGTAAGCCTCTTGTGGATAGGGTTACAACAAGGATTAATGGCTGGACAGCTAGGTATTTATCCTATGCTGGCAGACTCCAACTTGTCAAGAGTGTTTTGTTTGGAGTGCAAACTTACTAGAGTCAAATCTTTATTCTTCCATAGAAAATTTTAAAGGAGATTGAAGCAAGGTTTAGAGCTTTTCTCTGGATTAGGTGATCTAATCCTTCAAAGAAGTCACTGGTGGCATGAAACTCAGTCTCTTTTTCCTAAAGTTAGTAGGGGTTGGAAATATCTCTTCCGGAATGGAACACTGCAACTGTCTCTAAGTTATTGTGGGATATTACTCTTAAAGCTGACTCACTCTCGATAAAATGGGTTCATATTTAGTATTTCAAGAACAAGAATTGCTGGGAAGCTGATATACCTAAGAAGAGTTCTTGGGTTTTGAGAAGAAAACTAAAATGCAGGCAAGTAATTGATAGTATTGGTGGTTGGGACAATGTGAGAAAAGAAGCAGGGCTGCAGATTAAAAAAATATATAGAATCATTAGACCTCAAGCTCCTAAAGTGCACTGGAAAAGGCTAATTTGCAATAGTCAAGCCTCACCAAAGAGTTTATTTGTTTTGTGGTTAGTTCTCTGGAATAGATTGTTAACCAAAGATAGGTTGGTAACTTGGGGTATTCAATGTGATCCAGTTTGTGTGCTTTGTCTGACCAATGCAAAAAGTGTGGAACATTTGTTCTTTGACTGTAGTTATTCTAAGAGAATCTGGCAAATGGTACTGAATATGCTGCAATGCAGGAAGGTAGTGCAATCTTTTCACTATGAAGCTGAATGGTATATTAAGCATTGCAGAAAATCGAGCTCAAATAGAAGGGTGCATCTGATGTTCCTAGCTGAAATAATTCACAACATTTGGATTCAGAGAAACAACATTATGTTTAATGGTTGTTGTATTCCTGCTGAGACTATTTAGATATATAGTTTTAAGAGTTGCTTGTAGATGAAATGATGCTGACAAATCTTTACTTATGATGCAATTGTTGTTTTGATTTGTCTGAACGATCTTAGGATTTGAGTCCAGTTTGTTCCTGGTTCTAGGGAGAACCCTTCCTAGAAGGTGGCTCCCTAGCCCCTGAAACTGTTTGGTTGGTGTTTGGCCTTTGGGTCTTGTGGTTGTATGGGGTTTTACAGTTTAGCTCCCTTGTAAACTGTAATATTTTCTCTCTTTTGGTAATAAAGTTTCTATTTACCAAAAAAAAAAACCTTGTAAAAATAGGTTACCAATCGGTTTTTGCATGTTTAAAATTATCACCCCCCAAAGATTGTAATATTTATGTATAATCCAAAGGTTGTATTATTTAAAAAGATTGGCCCAAAGGTTGTATCATTTTTTGTAATTTTTCCTTGTTCATATTTTGTAGCCATTTTTTTTTTGAAATATTTAGTTATAATATTCATCTTAATGCTTGGTCATGTGTATATCTTGTAATATTCTTTATATGATTTGATAATTTTTATTATAAGAAACATGACTTACTTTATATTTGTTTGTAATGTAATTAATTACTGAAACTATTTTTTTTTTCTATATGTCCATTACAATATCATATAACTAGCTAAATTATCAAATTTTATATCGATTACCTTGTTATGATGTATGAACAATTTTTTTTTTAAGCAAATAACTTAACTTTAATCTATATCCAATACCAAAGACATCAAAGTTATTACCCTTCGCGTTCTTTTTTTTTTTTTTTTTTATGTCTCCATACTTCGTATATGTTATCAAAAAAAAAAAAATTTCAATGAAATGAATTTTATAGCAAAAAAAAAAAAAAGGTTCAAGAAAAAAGAATGATTATATTACTGTAATCATTGATAATAATGAGGCGCACCCAGTTTATCTCCCAGATAAACAAGCATTGTTTATCTAGGGTTATAAATGTCATTTCAAAAGTAAAGGTAGGGGTGAATTAGTAAATTGTAATTGACCCTATATTGTAGCTTACTAACAGAGTTAACAAAATTGGGAACGACATTCCAAATCTACAGCTCACTACTAACGAAACCATGGAAGCATTCCAGTGACCAACCATGGAAGCCACCAACCGACAACAGCAATTGGCGTTAGGATCGGAGGTCAACAATTTTCAGCGGCTTCGCCGCCAAATTAAACTAAAACCCTAAGAACAAAGGAAGTAATGAAGGGTATTGTTAACCCAAAGGGTAGTCTTTATCATCATCCTCCATTGATCTTCTTCCTTGAACCGAGAAACAGAGAAAAAATTGAAGAAGAGAGAAGTAAGTTAAACGTTTGGACTTAACGTCGTCTATTTTCCTTTTTCAATGACAAGTGTTCAAAATTCAATTTGCACTTTTTTATTAATTTTGTTGTCAGCCAGCACGAAAACCAAGCTACTTTATGTACTTTTTATTATATTTTTATATTGTGATAAACATTCCTTGTTTATCTAGAAGATAAACTTGGATTTTTCTGATAATAATATTATTCTAATTACCCTTTTTAAAGGTAAATTTTAATTACCTTATATAATAGTATATATGGCAATTTACCTAGTATATTATTGAAAATATGTACTAATATGCGATTTAATTGTATACAGATTGAATATGGTTACTAAAATGAGAAGATAGTAATATACGCTATAAATAAATTGAGATTTTTAATTTTATACACTCTTTAGAACTTATTGTAATATACTTTGTATGTATAAGTGAATCAATTGTAATTTAAAAATATTTTATTTTATATATTAACCTGAATTACATAAGAGACATTGCATATATAAAAAAAAAAATTACAGTATCCAGAATAAATATATTTGTATAATTTGATTTTTTGATTTGGTAAATATGTGGTAAATATTTTCTTTGAATAAATATATAAAAATTTACGTATATATTCAATCAATGAATATTTTTTAAAAAATAGATTTTTTTTAAAGCGGAGGAAAAAAAACTGCACTAAGAAATGAAACGTGTCATTACTGCTGTTTGTTTTAGTATTATGTTATTAATTGATTGATTTAAAAATTGTGAGTTACTTCATAATATCTGTTTTAATATTATATTGTTGATGATTTACAAATTTGACACTTAATTTACATTTTGTGTTGGAAAAATTACTTTAAATAATCCAACATTTACCCCATTGTTTCAAAATAAATCAAACTTTAAATTATTCTAGAATAATCCAACCTTTAACCCTCATCTTCCAGTAACAAACCCAAATGACCTGCTACCTAAGCAACAGGTCATTTTTTTTATTTTTTTATTTTTTCCGTTTTGACCACCCTTGACCACCTTATACCATAAACAACCACCACGTACACCTTTGGCCACCATTAATAGCACCTACAACCGCACTAGCCCAACCTACGTCCACAACAGCCTCGCAACACGCCCACCAACCATCACCAATCACCAGCTACCCCCCCTACCACACCATCGACGGCCTCACGGCCCTGCTCCACCTAACTAACTAACACCCCCAAGCAGCAGCTCTCGTATCTCCAGCGACAACCAACCATCGCACCACTACTCCTTCACCCCGCATCTCCACCACCATCACCTTCTCCATCCACCGCACCCCTGCACCGAAAAACTCCACCAATCACCAGCCCGCAATTGCAACCCAAACCACCCAATTTCACTCACAGCAATCCCCCAAATACACGCACCTATCCCAATTGACCGCTCTCTCTCAGCCGCACCTACAAACAATCACCAAACTACCGGCTTGATTGATTACTTGATTGCAATTAATGGAGGAGGTTCATTTAACGGGGAGGGGAAGGGAGGGTTGGGTGGGGTTTCCATTGTGGGTGGGAATTGGAATTACGGTAGAGCTGGGTTGGGTTTGAACCGCCGGCTAAGGAGGGTGGCATTGCGGGTAGTTTTGGGGGAAAGGGGGTGTTTTCTGGTGGGCTAGGAGCGTTAGGGGGCTAAGGGGGTGTTTCCCTGTGGACTATGGTGGTGACGGGGGAAGAGAGAGAGCAAGAAGAAAGAAGGTGATGGGTGGGTTTTTTTTTTTAAAATTTATTTTACGGCTATTTTATCGAATGCACTGAGTAATGTCAAAATTCACCAAATGTCATCAAGTTTTTCAAATTTGCCAAATGCTATTGAGGTTTAGTATAATATCACCAAATGTTATTTCCGTTAGTTGACCGTCAATGTCAGTTAGTTGACCCCACCATTTGCGACGTGTCACCTTTTGATTGATCCGTTTTTTTTAAAAAAAATTAAACAAAAATTAAAAAAAAACCAAAAATATTAAAATAATTAAAAAAAATAATAAAAAAAGAAGAAAACCACCAAATTAAAACCAGCCACCCTGCCCCCCACCCTGACCACCTCCTGCCGACGCTGTACTACCCCGGGAAACGCGCGCCAGATCCAGCGACACCCACCCGCCGGCGCCGTACTATCACTGCAATGAACTTCCTCCCTTTCCCTCTCACTCTCTCTTTCTCTCTCCTCCCTTTCCTCCTCCCCACCACCCAAATGACGATTCTGCCCTTGATGGTTGAAACCCTGGTGAACATGGTGGCTTGAAACGGTGTCGCTTTTAGCTGAAGGGTGGAAGAATTCCGAATAAGGAGGAGAAGGAGGAGGGTAGAAATTATCCCAATTCCAAACGGAAGAAGCCTGAGAAGGGGTAGAAGCGTAATTATAATTAGGAACACTGACATAAATTGTCTCCATTGCTCTCGGAAAATCGAAATTTCCGGCGAATGATTTAGGGGTTGAAGATGAAACACTAGAATTCGACAAAATATGGGGCAATTTCGGACCCCTTTTTACCCTCCCTTTTTCAACAATATTACCAGATTTAACACTCAAATCAGACAAAGTATGGGGCACTTTCGAACTCCCAATCGTCGGAGAACACTCCGGTGGAGGCAGTGGCGGTTGCGCAACCGGAGAATACGGGACAGTTTTGATCAGAGGCAGAGGTTTAGGGATATGTGTAGTAGAGGAATTGGAGGAGAAAGAAAATGGCGATTTGGGTATTGAAGGAATTCGATTGTTCTGAGAATGGCTGAGGAGAACAGAAGGGAAGGGGAGACGACGAGGAGGGGTTCGCCGGCGGCGAAGTCGGTGAGAGCGTTGCCGGTGACGCGGAGTGAGCGGCAGTAGTCGCTGGATCTGGCACGCGTTTTCAGGGGTAGTACGGCGCCGGCGGGAGGTGGTCAGGGTGGGGAGCAGGGTGGCAGAGTGGCTGGTTTTAGTTTGGTGGTTTTCTTATTTTTTTTTAATTTTTTAAAATGTTTTTGGTTTTTTTTTTTTAATTTTTTTAATTATATATATATATTTTAAAACAGACCAATCAGAAAGTGACACGTGGCAAGTGGTGGGGTCAACTAACGGACAAGATATTTGGTGATATTGTACTAAGCCTTAGTGGCATTTGGTAAATTTTGAAAAACTTGATGACATTTGGTGAAATTTTGAAATTAATTTATGACATTTGGTGAAATAGCCGTTTATTTTACAACTCAATTTTAAAAAAAAAGTAAATTAAAAAAAAAACAATCATGAAGTGCCACGTAGCACATATTACCAATTGCACTGAATAGGTGACCTGCAAGGTGTGATATGAAAAGATGGGGGTAAAAGATGTGATTATTCTGAAATAATTCAAAAATTAGTTTATTATAAAAGAATGGGGCAAAAGTTGAATTATTTAAAGTAATTTTTCCTTTTGTGCTTATGAACTTCAGTTTTCTCTATTTGAAATACATCTCAAATCCGGTCCACATGCCATATACTCTAAAAAAGAATATAAGAAGGAACGTGTGGCTCCTTGTACTATAAAACACATTATCCCACTCCAACCCATCGACTTACCTTATCCACAAAATCGTTCGTGGCTGAACCCACCTCACATATTTATTAACTTACTATTAGTCGCTCAATGCCTTCGATTTATCAACACCTTTTTTCAAA